AAAGCTTTTTATTTGCTACCTATCATTGCATTTAAGGGGCATTTAAGCAAACAAAGGATGAGATATAGCTTTACTAGTGATGATATTATAATGTCAGCACCCAGGAGACAAAGGGACATGGATATCCAGGTTCTTTTTGTCTCCATCTAGCAATTTGCTCTAGGTCTCCACTACACTCAAATGGTTGTTACAAGCACAGGCTGGAGTCAAGACAGACAGGAGGTCTAATCCCACCTCTCTCACTTACCAGATGTGGCCCACATCACCTCTCTCAATCTTGGCTTTCTCAAACATAAAATAAGATGAATGCCAACTAAGACACAGGAATGCTGTGAGCATTAAAGGAGGTAGTGCAGGTAAAGCATGTCACACGAAGCCTGGCACATGGTCAGCATCAATCAACAATCACCAATATGGTATCACACAACCTGGAGTAAGAGTCACTGTGGACTTACACACTAAGCTGTGCATTCCTTTGGTCAGGGAACAGAACTTATTTCTCTTTGTAAGTGGGCCTGCCCGTAGCAGACAGACAAGAAAGATTAGGTAGAACAAGTGAACTCACGAGTATATGCTTGGAGAAAGCCGGGCGTGCCCTCAGAACCATCGTCATGTAAAGGATACACGGTGATATTGTATAAAGTGCTGGATGTGAGTCCAGGGATGACAACATGCATCTCATTGGCAGTGAGATTGAAGAACGTGGTCTCCCTCACAACTAGTATTTGGTAGGATGACGCATTACCACTGATTCTCCAGGTCAGGCTCATGTTTGTGGCACTGATGTTCACAACCTGGATGTCTAAAACCTGACTACGATCTGTGAAGACAGAAGAGGAGTTAAAAATTTCTAGAATGGCCAAGCCAGAGAGAGAAAGAAGTTGGTTCTCCTGCTCCCTCCCACACTCCCACAATTCTGTGGGCCTATGACAGATACATATTTCAAGATATATATTTTTGGTTAAGATAAGCAGAGTCAGTTTTTGTGGCTTACATCCAAGTGCCTGAGGGCTGTGATGCTGCAGCATTTGTTCCTGAACCTGCAGGGCCACGTCATGTTCTTTTCTATGTGTGTTTGTCTTGACTCCCCATCTACACTGAACGCTCCCTGCACGTAGGGGCCAGCCATTCCTCTACTCCCTCATCAGCCCAATCCAAAAAAAAAAAAAAAACCTAACCCATTGCTGTCGAGTCGATTCCGACTCATAGCGACCCTATAGGACAGAGTAGAACTGCTCCATAGGGTTTCCATGGAGCACCTGGTGGATTCCAACTGCCAACCTTCTGGTTAGCAGCCGTAGCTCTTAACAACTATGCCACCAGGGTTTCCTGCACAATCCAAAAAGTCTTCAAATATTGGTCAGTTTAGAGAGTGGGAGTGCTGATAAACTGCAACTTTGTTGTTGTTGTTAGGTGCCATCAAGTCGATTTCAACTTAAAAAGACCCTCATGATAAGTAGAACTGACCCATAGGGTTTTCCAGGCTGTAATCTTTATGGGAGCAGATCACCAGGTCTTTCTCCAGCAGAGCCACTAGATCAGTTCGAACCACCAACCTTTTGGTTAAGAGCCAAGCGCTTCACCATTGTGCCACTAGGGCTCCTTAAATTACAGCTAGATGGCAGCAATTTGCATGTCAACAGGTCTTTCATTAAAAAGATTAGTACAAGTTCCAAGGTCAGGAAAAAAGAAAACTCATTTTCTTATCTCAAGGGAAGAAATTTAACCAGCACTGACAAAAAAAATATCTACAAGAGAAAAATATTATGCTAGTTCATCTCAGTGGCTAATATGGCCATTCTAGATACAGATATGAAAGACATAAGGTAGCACTTAGTGCCTGCACATCTGCTCACTACATTTTCTCGAGCTTAATGAAAGTAGCGTCTCGGCTATGCAGTTAAAAGAAACGGAATGGATCTGCTCCGTCTAAAATCTCTTCTGGAAAACTCCAACAACAAAATGACTTACTAAGCAAGAAAAAACTCAGAAGCAGACTCACAGAAAACAAAACTTTGTGCTAGAAAATTCTGGCTGAAGCCATTTTACAAAATTCAACATACTTGTCCTGAACTCTATGACCTGGGGTTGTCCTTCAGTGCCATCTGCTGCCTGAGAATAAACAGTGGCCTTGTACTGCGTGCCAGGCTTTAATCCAACAAGCTGGACTTCTGTGCCCCTTGACCCCTGGTGACAGGATGAGGCTGCAGTTCCAAGGTACACAGGGGCAGTGTGGTTGCTGGGTAGCTTCTCTGCTGGGCTTCTCTCAGTGTTGTTGGCTTCTGTGTGAAACACGAAAGGCAAAGATATTAACTGCAACAGAAACACATCTCCCATCTTCCTTCACTTCCCCTCATCTTCCACCCCAATGGCACATCAGACAGTCACTACTCCATAAATATCTGTTCCCTTCCTTCCCCAGGCAGAGGTGCATCCTCCTGAAAGGGCCCTGACTTTTGCCAGATATTTTGCTCCATACACTTACCCCAGATAAAAAATTCAGTTATCATTCAGTCGATTCGAACTCATGGTGACCCCATGCGTGTCAGAGTAGAACTGTGCTCCATAGGGTTTTCAGTGGCTGACTTTTATGGAAGCAGAAGAGCAGGACTTTCATCCAGGTCATCTCTGGGTGGACTCAATCCACCAACCTTCCAGTTAGCAGCTGAGCGAGTTAACCATTTGCAGCACCTGGGGACTCCTTACCCCCAGTAGCCACACAGATACTTTGTGCTTCTCCTGCTCAGCCACCTTGGACCACTCTCCCTTCTTTTGAGACACCATCTTCTCCCATCCCAATGTTTAACTTGTTTTTCCAAGAACAGTGACATGATTCCAATATGCCTAATCAGAGCCTCACTCAAGGAATTCTTCCCCCGCTGATTAGGGGAAGTGTGGGGTGTGAGAAGAGGGGAACTGGGGTGGCCATTTCTCCTTGAGTTAGATGGAGGGAGCCTCTCTGAGAATGAAGTTGAGAAACAGAAGCAGGAAGAGATCAGAGTCACCTCGTCTTTTTCCTTAAGGCCTCACTGGCCGTAGCAGGGAGATAAACACAAGCCAATAAATTGCTCTTTCAGTCTAAGCAATGTAAAGTCTGGTTTCTGTCACTTGCCATCAGGAATCCTAACGGCCACACTGTAGTTCTGCTTCTTAGGTGTAAAATGGGATTAAGACTTGTCCTTCCCAACTCACAGGGCTGACTCACTGAAACTGCTGTGAAATCTGCACATTACTATTCTAACATCAGTGCGGAAGCCATCTGCTGGATATGCCTGCTGAGTAGCCCTTTCTCAGTGATGTGGCAAGTTACTATAGTAGCCCTACTTGGGTTAACACATCTATCATTTGTTCAACTGAAGGTTAAAATCCCAAAGGGCCAGTCTGGACTCCAGACTCAAAAACGTTTCAAGCCCCACCGCTATTCTGAGCCCCAAGGTGCTCACTTTTCCTTCCTTCCTCAGACAAGGATGGGAACAAATTGAAACGTGGAGGGAAGGCCAGCTAGAAATTCGGTGACACTATACAAATATAAAAACACTATTTTAAAAAATACTAAGTCACTGAGAGTCAACTCCAGCAAGGGGGATGGGAAAGGGGGGACCACACTACCATCAAGAATGAACAGCCAAGAGTGGAGTGCATCCTTTGGGCCTAGGGTCCTTGCACTGACAACCAACTAGACCCAGGAGACAGAAAGTTGTAACACCAGAAACATCGCAAGACAGTGAGAAGCAGCAACAGAGAAATGGTGGTGGCAGAACCAGGAGACCAGTGTGAAACAGTACAGTGGGCTTCCCGGCCCATACAGCAAGGCAGTTACAGGGGGGTGCCTCTGGGCCCTTGGCAGAGCTAGGCTCACCGACTCACAGAGTGAGAGAGCTGAGCACCTTCGGGCTGAGGCTCACTGGCGGAGTAGGGTGCCTCTGGGCACTTACCAGTAGGGCTAAAGAGCTTTGTAACACTTAACGCGAGCAGGGCAGAGGCCTGGCCGGCCCAACAGGCCCAAGAGGCCTGAGGAGCCAAAGGGCCGAAGGCCAGGGAGAGGCCTGCCTGCAGGCACAGCCGAGAAGCTGTCCTGATGGAAGAACTATATCCTGAGCGTTCCTGATCCTGAATTACAACCTGTTACTTCCTTAATAAACCCCATAGCCATGAGCATGGTCTGAGTTTTGTGTGTCCATTGCAATGAATTACCAAACCCTAGCACAGGATTAGAGAGTGCCGTGGGAGGGACGGCTGGTGTAGGAACCGATAAAAGAGTTGGAGAGAGGAGGCATGTCTGACCTTTCCTTCACAGCAGTCAGCCTTGGGCTGTTGATGCTGATAATGATTCCCGCTTCTTCCCCTGATGAAGTTAGACGAGGTCAGGTGTTGCCGCCACACCATTTTTACAGCTGGCACCATTTTTTTTTTACAGAAGCACATTTTTGTTACTTACCTACGCCATCTTCTGGGTCTTTCTGTGTCTCATTTGATACTACTGGAGGCGGGGGGAACTGGTATCGATTCCCTGGCTCCAGGTCTGAAATATTGAACACTGAGTCTTGAGTCGAATCCTTTTGGCTTCCAATACTTTCAAGGAGCATCCGGCATTTGGCAGTGCCATTATCACTACACCAGGTAAGAGTAACCTTCGTTGTCCCCATGAAGGTGACATGAAGACCAGAGACTGGATTAGGCTCTATTATAAAAACAGACATTGGGCATTAATGACACAAGATGTTTGTAGTCACCTTTTGTTAAGAACGACTGGAGACAGTGGTGTTTCATTGTACTCATTAAAATACGTCCTTTACATCAGAGTCCACTGTATTTCTATCATTTCACATGGGGAAAATATATCATTATGCAGAAAAGAAGAGAAACAATAAATACTGTGAAAAAAAATTCTAAGTTTTGCTTTATGAAAAGAGAGTTCTCTTGCCCATGACACTAAAGGTTATCTTATTAAATGTTAGAAACTTATATGCTGTAGAATCGTATGTATCTCATTTTTAAAGCTTATAGTTAGGCTTTAAACTGTAACTAATCCTTAGAAGCAGTTTGTCTAGTTCTGGAAACCATGGTGGGTCAGTGTTCGAATCTACCAGGAGCTCCTTGGAAACTCTGTGGGGCAGTTCTCCTCTGTACTGTAGGGTCGCTATGAGTCGGAATTGACTCGGTGGCAACGGGTTTGGTTTTTCATTTGGTGTCTAGTTTCACATAATTGTACTTAGGTGATCAGGCTCACTAAAACACGTGAAAACTTGTTCTTTCAGAAAACACTCGAAGGTTAAATGAATATGTCGTGTTTCCAAGACTCCACAGGTCTTACAACCATGGCTCACTGCTCTTATGATTGTCTTAGTAAGGTTCCTATTTAAGCTTTGATCATGTTTGAGTAATCCTGCTCTCTTATAAGATTTATGCACTCTGACATAATCAACAACCAATCAAAATTTTTGGTTCTAAGTTCCTGATATGTATAAGTACCCTGAAAATCTGAATTAATTGGAGCACTGATTTACTCAGTAATGACATGCTGCCCAACTTTAAAGTTGTCTATTAAACCTGCACAGAAATCTTTTAATGGTGTTCTGAGTTATTTATATTCAGCAATCTTAAAGCCAAAAATGTTTCACTATCTATATTTTTTTCCAACACTAACCCCCACAGTGGTTTGAAATACTTTTAAATTGCTTCTTTAAACAGTGAAGTTTAATCATATTTCTTTTAGATATGGGAACAAAGCATCAAGTAAGGTGATTGTTTGCTAAGTCTAATGATCTCAATTCAAGATAAATGCAACCTGCGATCTGCAGATGGTACAATCTTGCTGAAAGTGAAGAGGGCTTGAAGCACTTACTGATGAAGATCAAAGACTACAGCCCTCAGTATGGATTACACCTCAACATAAAGAAAACAAAAACCTTCACAACTGGACCAAAAAGCAACATCACGATAAACAGAGAAATGACTGAAGTTGTCAAGGATTTCATTTTACTTGGATCCACAATCAACACCCATGGAAGCAGCAGTTAAGAAGTCAAACGAAGTATTGCACTGGGTAAATTCTGCTGCAAAGGATATCTTTCAAGTGTTAAAAAGCAAAGATGTCACTTTTGAGGACTAAGGTGCACCTGACCCAAGCCATGGTATTTTCAATCGCATCATATGCATGCAAAAGCTGGACAACGAATAACCAAGACCAAAGAAGAATTGATGCATTTGAATTATGGTGTTGGCGAAGAATATTGAATATACCATGGACTGCCAGAAGAATGAACAAATCTGTCTTGGAAGAAGTACACCCAGACAGCTCCTTAGAAGCAATGATGGCGAGACTTCATCTCATATACTCTGGACATGTCATCAGGAGGGATCAGTCCCTGGAGAAGGACATCATGCTTGGTAAAGTAGAGCGTCCACGAAAGAGAGGAAGACCCTCAACAAGATGGACTGACACAGTGGCCGCAACAATGAGCTCAAGCATAACAACGATTATGAGGATGGCGCAGGACCAGGCAGTGTTATGTTGTGTTGTACATGGGGTCGCTATGAGTTGGAACCAACTTGATGGCACCTAACAACAACAACAAAGGAGCACGTGGAGAGCAGACCAATGACTCAAAGCTGACTATAAAGACTGGGTCAAAAGCATACTTTTTTTAAGTCACACTGCCACACAATTTTTTCCTTGCTTTTCTCAGTAAGTTTTCTGTCTGGAAAAGAGACATTGTCTCGAAGATTTTCTGTTGGCCAAAGATGGTATATACCTTGTACCCTGTAACTTAGCTCATTATTTTTTGTTTTGTTTTGTTTTATTTTGTTTTTTTAAGAGAAACTCCTCTAATGACTTCTAATGTTGTTCTAGCGTACTTACATATGATCTCAGTACTGGAAAGGAGATGGAGGCAAAGAACAGAACACAGGACTAAGACTAAAAATCAATAAAAGGTATAAAATATACTCAAGATTCAAGAAGCAACAAGACACTCTGAGCACTGGACTGGCAACCTGGACCGCTAGACTCCTAACTGACCCGGTGACTGGAACAAACCACTTGTGACACATCAACCCCCAAACCCCAGAGTCTGCTCTTCCTAATCTAGCAAATGAGTGTTTCCCTAAGGGTGGCGTGCATACCCCAGGTGGTAAGCAACATGAGTTTAGATGATGCCAAGAACACATATTTTGGTTTGTAATCATTTCTTTCTTTTAATATGTATTAGGAAAATGTACCAAGCACAAACCCACTAATATTGTTTGTTCTTTAAATAATCTTTTTATTTAAACTCAAGCAGCCCCGGTGGCACAGTGGTTAAGTACTCAGCTGCTAACCAAAAGGTCAGTGGTTCTAATCCACCCGCCACTCTGTGGGAGAAAGATGTGGCAATCGGCTTCCATAACGTACAGCCCTTGGGGTTATAGTGAGGACAGCTAAGCACACGGTACATGCTCAATAAATAGCAGCTGATGAGCTCTGCTCTGAAAAGGCCCTGTCCCTAGGGGCTTTCGGAGGAGTAAGGATGCTTGGCTCACGTTCTGGGTGCCACCTGCCACATCATCACCTCCTGCTTCCTACAATCGCCAACTGTTCATCACCTTGTCCCCATCACCATTTTAAAATTCTCTGTTCTTTTTCATCCTTACTTCTCTTCCTTCTTCTCTCTGTCTTCTCCCTTTTTTCCCCTCTCTTTCACAATTCAGTATAAAAAATCTTTGTGTGTGTGTTTTCCTGTCTTTCTCTCTAAAACTGTGCTCTGAGGGGCTGCAGGAGTTTCTAGAAGGTTCGTGTGACACCTCTCCCCCCCGCCATGGCTCTGATCTCTATCTTTTATTTATTGGGCTTCTGGCCAAGATTTTGTTTAAAGAAAGTTTCCTGGTTAAAAAAATGTTGAAAACCACTGATGCAGTATTTGCCTGCTCTACACCCAGAGGACACTGTGCTAGGCGCTCACTTCAAACCTTGGGTTCAGCAGGTCAGGCTACCCTTCAGAGAACGCTAAGACCACACCCCACAGGTCAGTAAATCAATGGAGGGCATGAACTCTTTTTTTTATTTCTTGGTTCTTCTCAGCTTAGAAAAAGAAAAAATAAAGAGCTAAACCTGCACCTATACCAGGTTGCATAAGGTTTTTTAAAAAAAAAAATAAACAAACCAACCAACCTGTTGCCATCGAGTTGATTCCAACTCATAGTGACCCTATAGGACAGAGCAGAACTACCCCACAGGGTTTCCAAGGAACGCCGGGTGGATTCAAACTGCCGACCTTTCAGTTAGCTGCTGAACTCTTAACCACTACGCCACCAGGGTTTCCAAGGTATCGGTATCTAAGCTAAATGCATTTGTAATTGAATGTCATTGGGCTCTGATTTCATTCAAAACACACATTCCTCTATCAAGTGAACCGACTGTCATCCCCAACAGAAACTCCTCGGAATATAAACACAGCATCAGTTTTCAAGGGGAGCTTTAAGAAAGGTTAGTAATTACTGAAACCATCAAGACACGGTTTCAATGTGGCCTCCACTCCCAACTCTTAGCAGACAAGTAGGTAAAAATCAATAACAACAGAAGATTTGTAGAACCAAAGAGTTGGGCACAGTTAAAACTTCTCTAAACACGCAAGATCTAAATAATGAATGATCTGGCCACCTGAACTCCTGGGCTTGAAACAATGTTGTTCATTTTCTTCCCTTCCATAGTTAATGAAACCCAATCTCTTTCCAACAGGACGCTGGAAAACACAAGGCTCTAGGATACAAGACAATAAGGAATGGTTCGTGGTCACCCCTGGGAGCCAGTGAACTTAACATATTGTTACATTGATGACCATAGGTTCTCCCTGAGTCCTATTGACTATTTCTGGAGTGATGGAGAATGTATATGAAGTTGCTGGATTTAAGTCTGTGATGCTACAATTTGTTTGATTTGCAACAAGTATCAGCCGCTCATTGTCCATCTCATTCTTTATTCTGTACATGTACTCAGAAGCAGCTGCATCATTTTCTTTCCAGGTTAGGATCACATTGGTTGGACTGATGGAAACAGCTTTAATGACAAACACAGGACTGGGACCTATTTAATGTTTCCAAGGGAAAAAACAAAAAAGGGAAGGGGACAATTATATAAAATTATTTTTAAAAGAAATGGAAGAGTGAGGTTTACTCTGTGTATCTACTTTCCAGAAGAGAATTTCACAGTCATAGAGTTGTATTTCTCTTTAGTTGCCTCCTATACTTTCCTCTGACAAAATACACTTAAATACACATACATGCATGTATGTGGGTGTGTCAGTGAAACAAGAGGCTAAACAGAGGCAAAACTGACAGAGTTGGCCATACTGGATGTGACTTGAACACAGGTTAAATCTGTAGAGAAGCCTGTATAATAAGAGACCTAAGACATAAAATGAGTCTATCTCCCCAATTCTCAGGAAACTGCATGTGGAACAGCGCTATATAATACAGAAGCACACGTGAACTTTTTCTCCAAAACCTGTTATCGAAAGGAAATTCAGCATAGAGAGGAAAAACGTGGAACAGAACATCAAATTCCAGGGGGAAAAAAAAAACCAGACCTACTGGACTAGTTGAAACTGGAGGACTCCCTGAGACTATTACCCTGAGATACTCTTCAAACCTTGAAGCGAAACTAAACCGAGGTCACCTTATTAAGTAACAAGTTGGCTCAAAAAAAAAAACGAATATCATCCATAAGTACTGTGGCTCCTTAAAAAAATCACCTATGTGAGACCAAACAGTCAACGAGTACTTTAAAACAAAGATGAGAATGTAAGGGGGCAGGGAAACTAGATTAAAGGAAATGGAACAACCAGAATGGAAATAGGGAGAATGTTCCCGCATTAGGAAGAATGTAGCCAACGTCACTGAACAACTTGTGTAGAAATTATTGAATGGGAACTTAAACTGATGTGTAAACCTTTACCAAAAACACAATAAAATATTATTTTAAAAAATAAAGGAAACTCAGCATAAAGATGGCATAGGACAGAATGGCATACAGAGAAAAGGACTGGTCTTGGAATCCAGGCCTGGACATAAATACCAGCTATGCCCCTTAGCTGACTGATCTGGAATTGGTCCCTTAGAACTTCTGAGTCTCGGGTTCCTCTGTTGACAGCTCTAACACATTATTCTAAATATAAAGATTATAACTGAGGCACCACGATGTGGTGGACACGATGGATGTATGTATGTAAAGAAACTGAGGTCCAAAAGGATGAGTTTCCCAGGGTTGTAAGCTAGAAACTGGGCAAAAAGAAAAATATACAGAAAAGATGTTATAAACTACCCATGTTTACCATAAATGAAGGTCAATTATTAGCAAAACACCTCCTTCAATGTTATATGCAAAACTCCTCAACCTGGCAGAATCTTTATGCCAACATGACAAGGTGACCCTCCTCAAGTCTGTATTCCCAAGCAATTAGTGGAACAGTTATGTTTTTCCATTGTCACAGAATCACTTTCTGCTTCTAAAGATGATGTCAAGTTCACATGGCTTCTGCATCTGCGCCCCATGAAAGCAGCAGACGCTTTACTGAGGCCAGTGTTTTCAAATTGAGCCATTCCAAATTCAGCCCAGAACCCAGAAATACAATCAACCCTTATCCGATCATTTAACCAACACTTAATTCCCACCCGCCAAGCGAAAATGGCGTCCTAAGAGACTTACGTGTGTATTCTGCAATGAAGCTGGATTTCCCCGGGACATTGCCCATTTCTGGAGTGATTGTGATGTTATATAGGGTGCTCGGCATTAGGCTGCTTGGAGTGATCGCTTTGAGGGGACCGACCGTTTTGTAAGAGCTGACCTTAGACTGTGTACCTAACTGGTAGGTGTACTGGGAAGCAGTATCTATGCTCTGCCACTTTAGCTCCATTTCAGGTGGGGTGACACGCACCATGGGGATGTCAGACACCGCACTGGACTCTGGGCCAAGAAAAGGAGGAAAAGGAAATCTATTGTCAACTGTCATAAAGTCCAGCTTATTTTCAAAGTGATTATCTCTGGCTGGTGGTTTACATGTGATTTTTTTTTCTTTTTGCTTCTCAGCATTTAACAAAATGAACATGCATTCCTGGTGTTATAAATTTTTTTTCAACATTTTTCTTTGGATAATTGAACGGAAAACCTGACATTTACCAATTCCACTGATTTCCTAAGAAACATCACTGTTTCACTGAAGATACCATCTGTTCACTTACCAGTTTGACCTTCAACTGTTTGAGGTGGCCCTTGTGTCCCATTTGGTCCTTGTGGAAATATTTCAGAACGATGCGTGGTCCCAAGGCTTAAGCCACCAGTGATAATACTATGGTTAGTGGTTGTTTCATTCCGAGGTTCTCCAGCTCCATCCCGTGTGGTAAGTATCTTAATGGAGCCCGAGTCATTGTTACTCCTAGTCAAGCCAATTTCCGTTGTACTGACACTTGTCACTCGAAAGTCAGAGACTGGACCAGGGGATGTGGGAAGAAAATAAATGAATAGATTAAGAATCTGTTTCTTTAGTAGATACTAAGCTTCTGTTAAGGGTAATGGTATAATCTGAGAAAGATTAAAGGTGATGGTTAAACAACATGATGAACGTAATGTCACTGAACTATGCATGTGAAGATTGTTGAAATGGCAAATGTTTTGTTACATATATATTTACCACAATTAAAAAAACATAAATAAAAAAAAAACTCTTAGCACACCAGAAACAAAAGAAAACTTTCTTTTACAAAAACAAAGAATCTTATTTCTCCAGAAGACAGGAGTGAGGAAACTTCATATTTATTTACCAAACTGGTTAACAAAGAAGAAAAGGCAACTCTTCCCATTGTTTGTACAAGCTCTGCATAATTACTGTTATTAACTGAGATTTGCTTCATTAAGAGGTTTCAGCAAGATCTGCCCCCTTTGTATGGCACTGTGAGAACAATTCAATTATTTATCTCCATGGTTCACAGACTTTGGGATTTCACCAATCAGAAAAAAGCCCCCAAATTTTGGGAACTGACAAATTTGAGGGGACTGATAAAAGCTACCAATTTTTATTTTTCCCCCAAAACATACACTTAAAAACAAAACTACCAACTGTTATCATCTTTATTTCTTATAGAAATGTTCTATCACCAAAAAAAAATTAGTAAAGATGTAATCCCAGAACGGACAGTGCTTTCAACTCAACATATTTAGCTCCGTGAAAAACTCACTATCATATCCTTATTTTTGTCATTTTACTATAAACCAAGGGGGACTTAGACCAGCACCAGTCAGCAACTGGGAAGCATCCCTCCACAAAAGCAAAATATACAGGAGACTATCTCTGGTTTCCCAAAGGTTATATTAACCCTGCAAACCATTTTAAAATATACGAGACAATGCAGCAATGCAATTAAATACTTATGGTATAACAGCACATAAAACAAATATAAATTATACTGCATTAGAGTTTCAACTAAGTAAAAAAAAAAAAACTATAGATTTAGATTGGAGGGATCACAACAAATATAAATACTTTATTCATCAGGGTAGAACAACTTATTGAACTTTCTCTTTCATTCGATGTCCCCATCTTCACCTCACCTCCAAAGAGGAACTAGAAACAAGTGGGTTTTAACAAAGTTGCATTTTCTGTGATTTTCACATTGTTGTGAATGCTTCTCTGTGTCCATTAGGGGGCAGCAGAGAACAACACAAGAAGGGAGAGGAAAAATGGTACTCACCATCACCTGTGCACGCAATCTGGAACAGAAAAAGAAAACGGGAAGTCAGCAGATTCATTCAGCCACGGAAAATGCAAAACAGGATTTAATAACGGGGCAGGGTGTTAAAAAGTACCTTAGGCAAATGCCCGCTGGCCAGGATTGGGATGTAAGGACAGAGACTACAGGGATTCAGTCTAACACGTGTCAATCACAAACAACGGATTGACTCCATAGTATGGAGGCAGACTGCTGTCTGCTACCCAGTGTCCTTCCTCACAGACACGTCCAGCCCCTGTGGTCAGCTCCCTGTGGTCAGCACCCAGCTGAGGTGAAAGAACACAGAAGCAGTCAAGATCCCAGAGGCCAGAGGACAGGAGACTGAGACCATCACACCCCTCCCCAGGGCCATTTTCACATCGCTATGGCAGGGTGTAAAGCCAGGTGTGCTGCAGGAGAAA